AGAAGTCAAAATCAAGCTCGTTTAGATCGGGAGATTTAGGAGGCGAGTTTATAGGAGCTACTTGCCCTCTCCCAATCCAACGGCTTGGAAAGTTATAATCAGGCCGAAACGATTTAGTTTTTTTGCGGGCAAACTAGTCCTCTTAGGAAAAAACATTAAGAGGTAAAAAGTTGATAAATAACTTGTAGTACTTAAAACAATTATGTTCATAAACGTTTAGGTGCACACAAAAAAGTACTAAACAAAACAAAAGTAGGGGTTCCACATTTCTACCCTGCATAAAACTAAACTGAACTACAAAATACTACCGTAGAATGGCTTAATTAGCTTATACTGTATACCAAAATTTAATTTTCTATGTTTAACTGTTTTAAAGACAAACAATAAAAACTAATATTTTTTGGCATTTTGGAGATCACATATCTAAAAAATGAGACATCAAAATTAAAAAATTTGCGGGCAAAAAAAACCATCAAAAGGAATACTCTCACTAGTAATAAATACAAACTGCTCACATCTGGAACTTTAACCATAACTGACAATATTCTCAGTTATCGTCGGACTAATTCTTTCAAAATCGGCTTTCAGCGTAATGATCACGAACAAAGAAATAGCTGAATCGAACTTTCATGCTTTCAATGCCCCAGAGGACCGTACATCTTTTCTTGGATCTTTCGAAACGAAAATCTGTGGGGATCAGCTATCGTATCAGCTTCGATTCGTGTTTTGTATCTAAACTGAATCATTTTAGGCTTCTATTAACACTTTTTTCGACATTTGCTGCAAATGAAATGATATAGTAATTGCATATTGAAGTGAATCACGATTGCTCCATGATGACAAGCTAAAATAATCCTATTACCAGTTCGTACGATCACAAAAACCCTATTTGCTTGGTAACCTTTGGAAATATCGATCAGTACTTTTATTTATAGAAAAACATCGCTAAGTAGAGTAAATATTTATATTTAGTTCGCCACTTCATTGCCTCATCTAGGTCAGGGGAACAAAGTAGCCTAGTTGCAAAGGGAAGGTTATTTCAACGTACTTAATTATATGATGAAAATAATTCATTGTGCAATTTACCATATTCAAGAATAATTTAAAATGTGGACTATAATATAACGTTTAAATGCACAATTTCTTATTTTCTTATTTTCCCTTTTGCTGAGAAAAATAATAGGCTTCAGTTAACGAATTATTCTCGACTTGAGAATGTTGTAAAACTCGCAGCCTAAATCGACTCTCCCGACATATCAGAATTATTAAATAGATAACATCAAAGTAGCATATCGTTTAATCTGAGCTTTTAATGTACGGATTTTTACTTTTTTATTACCGCGTTCATTTGCATAGGCGTCGTCGTTAGGACTTTATTAGCACGATATTTTCGCAGGTAAAATTATTATGTTTGTTTCGAATGAATCATTTTCATTTACTTGGTAATTGTTATTAACTTTTTAATCTAGTCTTGACCTAGTGGATGTCTATCGAACTAGATGAAAAAACAAGTGGTTTGTCCGGGTGTCCGGGATACAGAGTGTCCGCAAATTGTGCGACCAACACTTCACGAGGTGGATCTAGAG